CCAAGGTTCCAACATTCCCGAACCGGGTATCGGATAACCTAAGACAGATAAGATTGTCTGGTAGAGGGAAAAAATAGTGCTCAGATAGTATCTGACAGATACCCGGATAAAGAGCTAACGGATATGATCGTGGTGTATATAAAAAAAAGAACTCAACATAAAGAGTAATTTCAAATACAGATGGCGCTTTTAACCGAATTAAAATTTTCTGCATTTTTATTTTTTATTTTTATTTTATTATTATATTGTAATACTCAGTAAGGATTTTCCAAAAATCAAAATTTTTAATTTAGTTCATTCTATTATACGTATGTATGTATGTACATGTACTTTCATTTCCTAAAATCGGTTATCTCGATTTCTTAAAAACGGATACTCTGATAGGTCTGAAATTTTTACACAATCTTTTTGGATATATTTTCCAGATAATGAACATAGGAATTTGTTTTCCAAAATAAATTCCTTTTTTTCGGCACTATTATACAAACATTTTATCAAAAAAACGAAATTTTGATTCCAAGGTTAAGCTATTTCGTCAAAAATGGAAATTTATATGTTTCAAGACAAAAAAGTCCTTCTTAACTCGAAACCTTCTACATTTCAAGGGTCTCAAATTACAAAAAAAAAATGATAACCAAACAGAATATATTACCATTAAGCACTGCTAATGCTTTAATCTAAAATATTACCTACATAACTAAATAATATGATGGATTAAAACTCCACTTTTAACTTTTTTTCGATTAATCGGCCTACAGGCGAAAAGAATGAATCGATCTTGTTGAAGAATTGAACCCACCTCTAGTATCAACCAGAGCTGGCAACACTGATCGGGATCATTATCAAACCAACAGTCGCGCTTACCATTACCACCTCAGCACCTACTTTATATTTTAGTTACTTTCGAGCAGTGCCAGGGTGAGTACCATATAAAAAATAAAAAGACAAGAAAACGGTCAGTCGGGCAAAGCAAATACATGTGTGTTAGATAATAAATGCATAAAAACGCTGTAAAATAACCGAAAAAATCTACAATTTTAAAGAAACATGATGAAAACAAAAAGTGCTTTTAGAGTGGTGAACATTTTTCTTATGGAGAATATTTTGTCTTGTCAGCTGACCCCTCCCTCTCCCTCGCGTGTTAGCTCCGTCCTGCTCGCACTCCAGGTCTTGTGATCGTCGCAGCTCTTCTGCTCCCCAAAAAGTTGCAGGGAGTACCGATATTTATAATCTCCCCATGCGAAAAATCCAATATGGAGGACAGTGCCAATTACATGGTGTGCAAAATGTGTGGCGGGCTGGTGTGCAGCCCGGAGTTCCAACATTTTCGCTTACCCCCTTTTTTTTCCACTTGTCAGCTGACAGTGGTCTTGTGATCAACGTCAAAATTCGAATTCGAATGGAGAGTGGGAGAGCGGATAGAAGAGAATACCACTCAAATGAGCGTAACTCTCCCACAATTTCTTGTTTTTTTTTCGTTTTGATAAAGTATATCCCGAATATTTCTGATTTATTAATGGAACATGCACTTTAATATCTTTTCTCGATTCGATAATCGATCCATGGGAGCTACCAATATTTTATTTATTTAAGAATTAGTTAAATGAATTAGTTTTCGAACTTGCGCAAAGCTCTGTCACGTGAACTGAAAGCTCTGCTTTTTAAAGTTTCTCCCAGCGAATTAAATAGTGGGAGTTGATATGAGAAAATAAAACAGAAATCAGATAGAAATGAGCGCCCAGCAGTAGATCACAGGTATAACCTTAAACCAGAACAGGTAAATGCCGAAAAATCCCTACAAATGTTACGGCCGAATAGAGGAGCGATAGAGCTGGGGTCTGTGCACCTGTCCTACTCTCGCGTGTCGTCAGCTGACAGAGGCCCAACCAGAAATTAGTGATAAGAAATTTTTCACCTTTATCGTTTTCCACTAGATTTCCCATTTTATAACCTTTTTTTTGTCTTTTCTTCAAGTTGTAGAACCAGAACAAAGCAAGATGTCCAACCTCAAGCGTTTCGATGATGAGGAGCGTGAGTCCAAATATGGACGCGTTTTCGCTGTCTCTGGTCCTGGTAAGTAAACTAATTTTCCGAATTTAACAACAATCTGAAAAACAATTAATAGTGCAAATCATAAATTAATAAATGGATCAATGATAAGCAGATTTATATCGGGAGTCTGATAGTTTGGAAGCAAAACAAGATGTAACCAATTTGTACTTTCAATCTTCCAGTCGTTACTGCCGAGGCCATGTCTGGGTCTGCTATGTACGAGTTGGTGCGTGTGGGATACTACGAGCTGGTGGGTGAGATCATCCGTCTGGAGGGTGACATGGCCACCATTCAGGTGTACGAGGAAACCTCCGGTGTAACTGTCGGCGATCCCGTCCTGCGAACTGGCAAGCCCCTCTCCGTAGAGCTTGGACCCGGTATCATGGGCAGCATCTTTGACGGTATCCAGCGTCCCCTGAAGGACATCAACGAGCTCACCAGCTCCATCTACATTCCCAAGGGTGTGAACGTGCCTAGCTTGTCGCGAGTGGCCAGCTGGGAGTTCAACCCCCTGAACGTTAAAGTCGGCTCCCACATCACCGGAGGTGACCTCTACGGTCTGGTCCACGAGAACACCCTGGTGAAGCACAAGATGATCGTGAACCCCCGTGCCAAGGGAACAGTCCGCTACATCGCCCCCTCAGGAAACTACAAGGTCGACGATGTAGTCCTCGAGACCGAGTTCGACGGCGAGATCACCAAGCACACCATGTTGCAGGTGTGGCCCGTGCGTCAGCCCCGTCCCGTTACCGAGAAGCTGCCCGCTAACCACCCTCTGCTCACCGGACAGCGCGTCCTCGACTCGCTGTTCCCCTGCGTCCAGGGCGGTACCACCGCCATTCCCGGAGCTTTCGGTTGCGGAAAGACTGTGATCTCGCAGGTGAGATGGTGTTTTTTTTGGTCGGAATCGGTTTTACATTCATCTTTTTAAAAGTTAAATATTACGAAACATCTTTTTCACACTTCCCAAACATGTTTTCCGTCCTAAAACGTATGCCTATACCTAATATAAGTTACTAGTTTGTATTAACGTTTTTTCATGTTTTTATGTTTATTTTCTAGGCCCTCTCCAAGTACTCCAACTCCGATGTGATCATCTACGTCGGTTGCGGTGAGCGTGGTAACGAGATGTCTGAGGTACTGCGTGACTTCCCTGAGCTGTCCGTGGAGATCGATGGTGTCACCGAGTCCATCATGAAGCGTACCGCCCTGGTGGCCAACACCTCCAACATGCCTGTGGCTGCTCGTGAAGCCTCCATCTACACCGGTATCACCCTGTCTGAGTACTTCCGTGACATGGGTTACAACGTGTCCATGATGGCTGATTCTACTTCTCGATGGGCTGAGGCTCTTCGTGAAATCTCGGGTCGTCTGGCTGAGATGCCTGCCGATTCCGGTTACCCAGCTTACCTGGGCGCCCGTCTCGCCTCCTTCTACGAGCGTGCTGGTCGCGTCAAGTGTTTGGGTAACCCTGAGCGCGAGGGATCCGTGTCCATTGTCGGAGCTGTGTCACCTCCTGGTGGTGATTTCTCTGATCCCGTCACCTCTGCCACCCTGGGTATTGTCCAGGTGTTCTGGGGTCTCGACAAGAAGCTGGCCCAGCGCAAGCACTTCCCATCGATCAACTGGCTGATTTCCTACTCCAAGTACATGCGTGCTCTGGATGACTTCTATGACAAGAACTTCCCCGAGTTTGTGCCCCTGCGTACCAAGGTCAAGGAGATCCTGCAGGAGGAAGAGGACTTGTCCGAAATCGTGCAGCTGGTCGGCAAGGCCTCGCTGGCTGAAACCGATAAGATCACCCTCGAGGTGGCCAAGCTCCTGAAGGACGATTTCCTGCAGCAGAACTCGTACTCCTCGTACGATCGTTTCTGCCCCTTCTACAAGACCGTGGGTATGCTAAAGAACATCATCGATTTCTACGACCTGGCCCGCCACTCCGTGGAGTCGACAGCTCAGTCCGAGAACAAGATCACCTGGAACGTTATCCGTGAGGCCATGGGCAATATCATGTACCAGCTTTCGTCCATGAAGTTCAAGGTGCGTCTCCAAACAAATAGCTCTTATGTATTAAATTATTAAATTATTTTTCTCAATGATTGCAGGACCCCGTGAAGGATGGTGAGGCCAAGATCAAGGCCGACTTCGAGCAACTGCACGAGGACCTGCAGCAGGCCTTCAGGAACCTGGAGGACTAGAGACCGCAATGGCCCTACTTTTACACTCTAATCTTATATTTGTTATATAGTTAACTTTTAAAAATGAAATCAGTCAAAAACCATCTAAGAAAATACCAATCAAAATTGCGAAGAACCAACACCAACGATTCCGTGCTGCATTCGAAGAAAACCCCAAATTTCAACAAATTCCAAAACTCTTTGGAGCCTCTGAGAGATGTAAACATTCCGGCCTGCGGTTGATACTTCTTTTAACCAGACCCTTCCGCCCGCCCACAAAGGGCCCTCAAGGCTACAGCAACTACAACGTCCTTCTATGTACTTCCATTTACAAAAGCAACAACAAAAGACACAGAACATTCGTGATTAAAAGTACACGGACCCGGACCCGGACACGCACACAAACACACACACACGCATATACATAAAAGACACAAATACAAATGCATGCATAAATAGTATTATTGTTTAATGAATGGAAATTCTTGTTTATTTGTGAAAAGTCATGTTTTCTCCTGTTTGTTTGTTAAATTTATGTAAATATTAAAAGTATGAAATATTAAATGTACGAATAAAGTGCAACAACAAATACATTTAATGTAAAGAAAGTGCCTTTACTCTGGTTCCGATTACGTGGCAACTGTTTTTAATATTAAGGTGGATTAACAATGTTTCTAAAAGTTTGTAATCCCACAATGACTGCTTGCCAAACTTGATCACCTCTTTCTTTCCAAAATCTGTTACACTTTGTTATACCCGACACATAAGTAAGAAAACAATTCTTTACACAAAACTATTCTTCGGTTTTATTGACCATGGACAAGGATAATAAAGAGGGATGCAAGTGTCCCAATACTGCGGTATGACGAATCTCTTGTTTGTGAATTTCAATATTATATTTTAAACATTTTTCCTTTCATATATTGTTTCATGTTTATTACCACAAACGATCATCAATGAAAAAGGAATCTTGGGTTGCACCGCTGACTTCCATGACGAGCAGCATTGACACCCCCGGACCCTCCCCCAGCAGTGACCAGAGTCCTAGATCTGCTCCTTGCCCCAACTTGCCGAAGAAATGCAGCTGTCGCAGGCCGCATGCTCCTCCAGAAGTGGTACCACCTTCCCTGGCTGTAGATGCCCAAGAGTCGGGTTCTATCGCTGCTTCCGAGGAAATGATTCAATCAGAACAATTTTCTGCCGCGCGGCAACGCGCTGTTGGTGTCACCGACGATGATCAGAGCAGGGACACTCGCAAGAGCTCGCACATAACAGTGGAACCATTAAGGAACAAGCCCCAGCGCGTGCCAGACTCGGAGGAAAAATTCGAACGGGTGGTGGACTCACAACACTATACCTTGGAGGCCGTTGACGAGGGTCCGCATAAGGGACGTATCTTTGGGGTATCCGGGCCGGTAGTCAATGCCGAAGAGATGGCTGGAGCTGCTATGTACGAGCTGGTGCGCGTGGGTCATTGCCAGCTGGTGGGTGAAATCATTCGGTTGGAAGGCGACATGGCCACCGTACAAGTGTACGAGGACACTTCCGGGGTCAGTGTCGGTGATCCCGTCTTTCAAACAGGCAAGCCTCTGTCGGTGGAACTGGGCCCTGGCATCATGGGCAGTATTTTTGACGGAATCCAGCGACCTCTGCGCAAAATTAATGAGTTGACGAACTCCATTTACGTCCCCAAAGGCATCGACGTGCCCAGCTTGTCCCGAGATGTTGAGTATCTATTTACCCCGGGTAAGCTGAGACAGGGGGATCTAGTCACAGGCGGTACTATCTACGGTAACGTGGTAGAGAACACATTGATGCTGCACCACTTGATGCTGCCACCTCGCTGCCAAGGCCGCATCAAGTGGATTGCTCCCCCCGGAAATTATTGCGTAGATGAGATAGTAGTGGAGACGGAATTAAACGACGAGGTTACCAAGCACTCCATGCTACAGGTGTGGCCTGTGAGGCGGCCTCGTCCCGCGGAGGACAAGCTGCCTAGCAACACTCCGCTGCTGACTGGTCAACGGGTTCTGGACGCCTTCTTTCCGTGTGTCCAGGGCGGAACCACAGCCATTCCGGGAGCCTTCGGTTGCGGAAAGACAGTGATATCTCAGGTGAGAATATTTACTTTCTCTGTAGATTCAATCTCTATAGATTTTTATAAACATGAATAATTTTAGGGTAGCTTACATTGGTGTTAATTTTTTTTTTTAACCTTAGTCCCTCTCCAAGTACTCCAACTCCGATTGCATCATTTATGTGGGGTGCGGCGAACGAGGTAACGAGATGTCTGAGGTGCTGCGGGATTTCCCCCAGTTGGAAGTTTTAGTAAACGGGACGATGGAGTCCATCATGAAGCGTACTGCCCTCGTAGCCAACACTTCCAATATGCCTGTCGCTGCTCGAGAAGCTTCCATCTACACGGGGATTACTTTGTCTGAATATTTCCGCGACATGGGCTACCATGTGTCTATGATGGCGGACTCCACCTCCAGATGGGCCGAGGCGTTGCGTGAGATTTCTGGACGTCTGGCTGAAATGCCAGCAGATGCCGGGTATCCGGCCTACTTGGGAGCCCGACTGGCTTCCTTCTACGAAAGAGCTGGCCTCGTCAAGTGTCTCGGCAGTCCGGACCGCTTTGGGTCTGTTTCCATTGTGGGAGCTGTTTCACCGCCCGGAGGTGATTTCTCCGATCCGGTGACCTCAGCCACTCTGAGCATCGTTCAGGTGTTTTGGGGCCTCGATAAAAAATTGGCGCAGCGAAAGCATTTCCCCTCAGTAAATTGGCTCCACTCGTACTCGAAGTACATGCGTACGGTGGACAACTACTACGAAGACAAGAATCCGGAGTTCACCTTCTTGCGGGCGAAAGCCAAGCAGGTGCTGCAGGAGGAGGACGACTTGGCTGAAATCGTGCAGTTGGTGGGAAAAGCATCGCTGAACGAGGGCGACAAAATAAAACTGGAGGTGGCCAAAATGCTCAAGGACGACTTCCTGCAGCAGAACTCCTATAGCACATACGACGCCTATTGTCCGTTCTTCAAGACCCAGGCCATGCTCAAAAACATGATGACTTTCTACGATGCGGCGATGCAGGCCGTCCAGAATACGGCACAAGACGATGCCAAGGTCACATGGGGTCTGATCCGAACAAGGGCCAGCAAAGTCATCTACGATATTTCCATGATGAAGTTCCAGGATCCGACTTTGGGCGAAGCAACCGTTGTGGCTGCGATGGACAAGCTGCACGACTCAATTATAAAGACGTTCAGGGACATCGAGGAGACCGCCGGAGATTTTTAATAATGAAACGGTAGAGTCCTTTAACAAGTCCAAATTTATTGTTTATGTTGAAAGCCTTTTACAAAAACAAACATGAAACGTAATTCATGTTTTGTAAAGGTAACACCAATCAAATATGTATTTCAAAACATTTCTGTCGTGAAATGGTAAACAAAATTTGTACGTGCTATTGTAACTTATATGTATTCCAACATTGCGTGATAATTATAGAGCCAAAGTCCTATTCCCAGTTATGCGCTTAACTCATTAGCAGAAACGGTGTTGACTCCTTTTTGGCATTGCACTTCCTTTGAATTCTTTGCATGTGTAGGTATTCCCATCTCAGAAATCATTTTTTCAGCTTTCAAAGGATGGCGAGAGCCACGATTTATTTCGTTGATTTATTGGAAAAGTTTATTAAAGCACCGGGATCGCAAAAGGGAACTTCTCGGCTCACACCTGAACACCCACACCCAGTGCCGACCAAAAACCAAACGTCAAGGCCCGCTGCAAAGCTTTTTTCAGCAGCTAGGGAGCGAGAGATCGATTTCGATTCAATTAGTGGAAATTAAATGTAAGTATATATGTATGTATAAGTCGCCACCTCGCCCTACAGCCACTGACAGCCCGCCCCTTTTCGCTGGCTTTGCGGATTGCGATGATTACATTTCCGCACTCCGGTACCCCAAACCCCAGCCACTATTGGAAACCAAGTCAGCCATAAAATGAGCGCCGAGCAAAAGAAGCAAGCCAAAAAATCAGAATCAGTTCAATTGCAAATTGAAAATCCCCTTTACAACTTCCGTTTCCGCTATGAGAGGGGGCTACACAGAGAAGAAACGCTGGATCACTCAGACAAATATTTTGGAAACATTTTTTTAATCATGATACTATATTGGTATTTAAAATATTTTTCTTTTAGAGTAGTATAATAATAAATATGTAGTACTTCATATATTTTATGAATATTTGTTCGAGTGTATATGGGCGGGAAACTTCTGCACATGTGGGCATCTGTGTGTGGGGAGTAGGAGGTCGTGTGAGTCTGGCTGCCATGACAAACGTGGCGTATGAGCAATGCGCGCTAATTGGCTGCCATTCGATGCTTTCTCCGTTCCGTTCCGTTTCGTTTCGTTCTGTTCGTTGGCATCGCTTTGGATCTCAGCAGCAGAGCATCCCGGCCACCCGGCCACCCATCCTCCCACCACCCATTTGCATCTCCGTTCCCCTTTTGCACCCCGTGTCCCAACTCTTACCGCTAAAGTCCCAGAACCATTTGCCATTTGCGAGTTTCGGGCTAAAAGCTGCTTGGGCTCAGCTTTGGATTGCGTTGCCGAGTGAAGTTTTGCAGGATCGCGAAGGGATGTGGTGGAGGATGCGGGGTTTGGGAGTGTAGTGATGGGACTTATTGCATAATTTCAAGGGGTTAAGCCATTGAGCTTTAATGCAAAATTTCAATTGAACGTCAAACAGTCAATTCGCTTTAGCGGCGATAATCGTAAAAGGATAATGGCGCTAAAAGAGCATAAAAAGGCAGCAGTCTGCCGGCAGGACTCACTTCCACATAGGACTTTCGGCGTGGATGTGTATCTGTGAGTATGTGAGGGTGTCTCCAGCGTTCCCTTGTGCTCTTTTTGGCCGTCTGCTGCTTAGCTTGAGTGTGCACTCAATTAAGGGTTTCTTTTCAGAGCAGAGGCTAACGGCCGCAACATTTTTTCGACTTATTTCGGCCTGCTTTAACCTCTTTCCCGCAAACAAAATAATAACCCGGCTATGGTAAAAGGAGTGCCACTTTTAAAGATAGCTATCTGTTAATTTAAAGTCTCAGCACCCAATCCTCGGCCCCCGACTGCCAGAATCTGTTGACAAGTTTTACCCGAATAGGAAGCGTGTGCCGAGGCCAAGGACATGCTTCCACAGTTTGTTATTGTTTTTTCGTGGTTGTTGTTCATTGGCCGCAGGGCCAAAGGGATATCATAAGCACATAAGATGACGAAGTTGGAAACGCATGGAAAATGCCGGATGCCAGTAAAAGGGGGCTAACAAGGACACAAACGAATGAAAGCACGGAGTTCTGTGCTGAGAACCAGGGATGAGAGCAACTTAATTTGCAACTTATACGCAAAATCCTTTTGATTTTGTTATGTTGCTGCTTAAAGGTCTCCAGTGTCCCGTGGTCCCTTGTACATTCTTATTTTCCTTGTGGGTTGTGTGAGTGTGAGGCTCCTAGCTTGCCTGCAGTTATTTGCCAAACTTAAGCGTACACCCTTTTTTCTTGTTTTCTCTGATTTTCCACTTTAGCTTGTTCTTCGGTTTCGGCTTCGTCAACTTTTCGTTTTCGGTGGAAAAAAGGTCCGCCGATCATTGTCCTTTTTGGTCCTCTCAGGACACACCCGCAAACGCTCAGGAAACATATCGGGCTGATGTTTAAGAGAATTTAAATTAAGCCTATGCAAATTCGCCGCAGGATGCTTTTCTTTTCAAAGCTGCTGCTTTTGGATTTTTTCCCAAATATGGCTCCTCCCACAGCTTGTCACATTAAAGTCGCATTACCGATAAAGCAACGCCCTCCTTTAGAGGTTAAAACAAATTTTTTTTTTTGAAACATATCAGATATTTAAATATGTATTAATAATAGTATTTTACTTCTTGTTTCCTTCCATCGAGACAAATTTAAGCATGGTATCATTTAGCAAGTTTTTAACAGCACACATGAAACAGCTCCTTAATATATGATCTGAAAAATGCCTGAAAAAGTTGATTCCATAAAAATCATCTCACATCCTGCAGCATTGCGAGACTTACGAGGAGGGGACTGGGAGTGAGTTCCTTGCCACTTGCTGTGGCGTGTCTCCTGTCACACAACAACTGCCCTATCACTCACAGCCCCTCCGCCCATCCTCCCCCATTCCGGCCCAGATAATGAAATTGTTGCGACCGAGGAGAAAAAAGAAACTTTTGACAGCGCCGCTCGGTGTTCATCAGGCAAAGGCAGGCAAACAATTTAAATACAAAAGGATATGCGTGGGCCAGGCCAAAGAGTCCTTTTGCAGTGACATTGATGAAACGCTGGAAATTTACTGCAAAGCGACCTCTCATCCACCCCACTCCGCTTTGTACTTTGAACAAGACACTCGAAAAATCGTTACTAAAACCGTGACTGACATTTTTAGAACTTTTATTAGAATTTATATACTTCTTAAAAATGTAAATAGGTGACTTATAAATATAAGAAAATTAACAAAATTATTGAAACTTTTTAATAGATTTTTTCCAGTGCTGAATTTGTTTATCTTTGCGGTTTCCTGGTCCTTGTTTTGGTCCAGTCTCTCTTCTCGCTTCTGATTTTGCTCGCCAGCATTGTTGTGCTTACTTATCCTTGTCGAAAAATTTCCAAAAACTTGGTGGAGTGATTCTTCATGAGACAAGGGGGGGTTGAGAGGGATGTCGCTTAGAACGCCCCTTAAAAGTGGCGAAGGACTATAGTATGAATGAACCGAGGAATGGAAGCACGAGCGAAGCTCCGTTTTCCCTTGTAGTCACTGCATTTAGTCAAAAGTGATTGAAAAGGCATTTTGTTATAATGCCAACTTAATGACAACGAAATTACACCAAAAGCCAAGCCAAGGCAAAGCAAACAACAACATCAACAACAATTGGTGCTAAGCAAAATGAGTTTCCAAATACTTTGAGACCGAAACTTTGTCTCCGCCACGCACACAACCTCCAAAAATACCCGGAACACAACAATTTCGTAGCATTTTTTAAGCTATTTTTGAAGAGAATGTGTGGGAGGATTGCTCCCAGCACTCTTCCTCCCGGTGCTGTCATGCTGGTAAAGCGATTTAATTGTTTGTCCTGGCAATAGATTTCCCAGACTGTTTAAGTAATCGAATCACGACGAAATCTTCCATAAGATTTAGTGAGACTAAAACTGATTGTATAACTTTTACCAGTGGCTGGGAGAGCCTAAGTTTCGGATAATTAAATTCGGCGAAGATATTAAATAAATAGAATACAGGCGAAAACAAGAAAGGACTGCTATAGTCGCGTTTCCCGACAATATTATACCCGGTACCCATCTCTTCCACCCACAATTTAACCAACCTTAAAGCGTAATCTTTAACGGTATGGAATCTCCGCAAAAAGGTTATCCGGCTGCTTTTTGATTTGTAGGTGTAGAGTAGCCATTAGAACAGTTTGGTATTAAAAATTTTCCGAAAACCTTAAAACAACTGGCGCCTTAACGAGATTTCTGTTTCAAGAGCGGGAGTGGGCGTGGAAAAATTTTGAAACAAACTGGAACTGCGTGGGGATTTTAGGAGTATCCATGCCAAATCCTATAGCTATAGTCTCTCTATCTCGTATAGTCTCTGAGATCCACGTCTCTGAGTAAGAAATCTAGTATAAAATCTATAAATCTAGTAAGAATTGTTTTTACCATAAACCATTGGCACTAATCAAACTAAACTTACTATAGGATGGTAGCTTTTTAGTCATTCTGTATTTTCAATATTCAATATTTAAATGAAAATCAAACGGGTTTATAATAATTAACTTAAAACACAACCCTAATAATTAACTATTAAAAAGGTAATATTAATATTATATATATATGTATATTTATAAACACTCTTACGGCAAGTTTGACCCTTAACAGCAACATTAAGTTGGTTCATAGGAGCCTGTCACATTGTACTGTCTTAGATCTGCACTTATGTACATTCTTGAGGAATTGGACTTGGATCACGTATCCGAAAAGTATGCTATTGAAATATTTATGCACCGTTCGCTTAGTCTGTTTGTTTTGTTTTGCTTTGTTTTTTACACTTGTTTGACTATACTATTGGATTGTGTAAGCTCAAGTGCAAGTGTGAGTGCGGCTGATTAAGCATTTCACATACATATTATCCTGCTGCAGCAAGGACTTCAAAGCGCAGTAGACATGCAAAACAAACACGTGCCGACACGCACACTCGAAGACCAGATTTCTTCCACCACGTGGCCCAGCATTGCTCCTATTCCTTTATATCACGCTTACCAGGGGAACACTTTTATAAATAACACTCTTATATCCATTTTTCAATATCTTTATTTCTTGTGATGGGGATTTAGATTTGTTTACATTTTAAAAAAGTTATACCTATTTAAGAAGCTTGTATATGAAAGACGGTTCTTTTATTTCTTCAAAATATTTTTAAAAGTTTTGAAAGTGTGTTATTACTTGTTTCTGTGTTTGAGCTCTTAAAT